CGCTCACTGCGGCTGCTGGCCGCTCACGCTGGCTGCTGGCTACACACGGTAGCCCATGGCAATCCACTGCCACAGGGACTGCAGCCTACGCCGTCGCCGGCGACCCACGGCAGCCCAGCTCCAGGTTGAGCTGTTGTTCAGCATCTTAGCTGTAGAGGGCAGTGTCACTGGCCCTCATATGTGGGATCTGAACCGGGGCCCTCTGGCGTCCCAAGCCAGTTCTTAACCATCGCGCCACTCGGCCGGCCCCCGGTCATCATTTTAAGAGGCCAGGAAGTGTCAGGGAGTGACAGTACCCTGTGGCAGGCCCAAAGTGGCTCTAATCCCTGCCTATGCCCCTGGGGAGACAGACCACTATGATCAGTACATTTTCACTCCCACTTCTAGAAGTGGTTCCAGAATATGGCATACATCTACCCTTGTGCTCTCTATGGGTACGACCTCACTGAGAAGTCCTGGGAACTTCTGCCCTGTGCTCGGCCTGGAAGCACCATTAGTGAATGGGCCCTTCTGCTGGCAGCCCTGTCTAGGATCCAGATCCAGTTCTAAGGCGGCACCTGTGTTCACAGGTAGGGAGGTCGGCCAGGATGAGTGAAGAGGTGGGGGTAAGGATGGGGAGAAGCTGGGTTTGAGGGCTGAGACCCGTCCTGAGGAGTGAGCGGTTCTGACGTTTCTCTCTCTTCCTTGTCTGCTCCCAGTGCCTAAGATTGAGAAGCTGAGCCAGGAGATGGTGGACAAATACGACGCATGCTATATGGATGCCCTGCGCACACTGTTCAACCATCACAAGGTCAAGTTTGACTGCTCAGACACTCAGGAGCTGGTGAAAGTTCTACAGACATCCCCAGCAGACTCTCAGCCTAGCTGGAAGGTGTGGAACTGGAGAAACAGGAGGACAGAAGTCACCTATGGGGCTCCTATCCCTGATGTGGCCATCCCTCAATGTGACGAGGGGATGTCTGTTGGGTTGTTTGCTGGACCCCTCTTCCTCCTTCTAGTTCTTCTCTGCCCTAACATGCAGCCATTCATCAGCATTAGGGAAGACAATGGGACAGAATAAAATGCCCACCTTCTGATACTACTTCTGTTCCAGCTAGTCTGCTTTCAGGGCCTGTGATCCCCACGCACCTTTCCTTCTCCAGCTCTCAAGCAGCCCCATCTCCTGGCATTGAGACTCCTGCGGGACTGGGTGCCTTGAGATCCAGTGGGCTTTGAGTTCATGCTCTACCACCTTCGAGCCACGTGACCTAGAGCAGTGAGTCACCTCTGAGCCTGTTTCTTCATCTGTAAAATGGGACTAGTGATCTCTGGTCTGCTAACCTCAAAGGCTGTTGGGAAAGATCAAGTGATATTGAATGTGATTGAACTTTGTAAATTGGGAAAGCTACACAAAATCATTTTTCCACAACCATTTTGCCCATTTTCTGTCCCTGAGCAAACAATGCCCTAAATTCCATGGCATTTGAATGTGTAAAAGTAAGCTCATAGTGTAGGATCTTGTCAGCAGCCCTTTGAAAGTCTAAGTAACCTTCCTAGAAGTGTGACCTTGGATGAGCTACTTAAACTCGTGGAACATTGGTCTCCTCGTCTGCAAAATTGGATGACATCATGGGGAACTGGAGGCTCAATCTACCCAAGCTGTTTTGGGCCCAGGGCTGAAAATTCTGGTATAGATGACACGACCTCAAGCTGAGGGTGATGCCTTGTTGTGTCTCTGCCTCAGGATAATGTTCCCTTTCACAGGACCTCTAGCATACCTGACATGTGGTTACAGGAAAAGACCTAAGGTGATGGGAAGGTGGTCAGGGGCACAGAGAGGAGGCAGCATCTTCTGACACAAAACTCAGAGTACCATCCCTCTGTTGCCCCCTCGGGAATGGGTACCTTGGTCTTTCCCCAGCTCATGCGTGGCATCACTTACAAAGAAGCACCTAGCATGTTGGAAGTGCTCAAGCCGATTTCCACAACAGAGGGGAAAAAAGCTTTATTTGCAAAGAATAAACCATTAATTTACACAAACTTACATCCCACTTTATATACATTATGTATAGTTTATATACACAGTATCTCACACTGGATGCTGACCCCCAAAGCAGCACTGGGCCTGCTCCAGGCCATAACAAAGCCCACCCCTACCCTAGCTGGAAGCTTTCTGACTAAAGAAATGACACACCCCAACTCCCCTTGGAGAGAGCCCTGAAATGGATTAAAAGGAAAAACCCAATTCCTTCTTTGTGCTCACAAGCTCTAGGGGAGCCTCCAGGCAGGAACGGGGCCCGCGGCAACGCCAGGGCGGCCTCACAGCTTCGTGGTGTTAGGCCAGTCCAGAGCCTTCCAGCCCAGGGGCAGGAGCCTTAAGGGGAGGAAGACTTACGATGAAGGCTGCAGCCACTCTCTCCCCGCCTGGCCAGGCTCCTGAAGGGGGCCAAGCACTTCCAGCCTTGAGTCTATGGGTGGGAGCTAGAGGGGGGCTGCATGGGACAGGTACTGCTCCACCCCCTCACTCTGCTCAGTCTGTGAACCATGGCTCGTTCACCTTGGGCAAGCCACCTGCCCTCTCTGGGCCTCAGTTTCCACACGAGTAACATGGGGTTGAACGTAGGTGGGGCTAGATTCCCTCGCAGGGCCTTCTCGCTCTAAAGTTCTCTGAATCAATTATATTTGCATCCACCAGAAGCTACATAAGACACGCATACTCACACATGATCCAAAGCCTTTTTCACCTCCAGGATTCCTAGCCCTTTCCTGCTCAACAAAAGAAATGTGGCTCAGGATGGAGGAAGGGGGATACAAAACTCATTTCTTCAAGGAGCCAGTAGCTGAGCAGCCCCTGACAGCTGCCTTTCGTGCCATGCAGCTGTCCTTCAAGCCTGTCATCTGCTAGCTCCCCAGTGTCCTTGTCCCATTCTCCATGCCAGCTTTGGCCCGCTGCGTAATTCCGAATGGTGAATCTCTTTCCACATTCTCTTACTAGTAAACTGCTTCACTACTTTGCCAATAACTTGCCTGCAACAGGGCTCCCCAGCTACCCGTAGAGTCCCCTTTGAGAGTTCAGAATGAATAAAGGGTCCTGTGCGAATCCTAGTTCCCCCACAATGCCCTCCATATTGAGAGAATAGCATGGGTGTCAGAATGTCCTTTAGGGGCACAATTAGGAAGCCCTTTCCTTCCCTTCCTCACAGCCTTTTGGCTTTAGAACCAGCCCTTGCTCTTCCCTCCATCCCCAAGTGATCCTGCTGGTACAGAGTTGTCTGTGGTGTGATAGGAAGAGACAGGAGTCACTGAGCAGCTCTGGGAGGTGGGCCAGCTGCTGCAACCCATCTGTAGGGTAATCAAAGAAGGACCTCGCTTGCAGTAGGGGCTCCATCCATGAGGGGTATCTGTTCGGTGGGTGCTAAGGTCTTAACAGCTTGGACATGGTGCCAAGACAGTTCTTCTGAACATAACAGCTTTAAGGCTGATGGCAGTTTCCCAATGAAGCGTGTTACCCTTGTGCCACAGAGCCCTGGCAGCCAAGAGAACAGGTGTTACCCTCAAGGAGTGAAAATGAGCACTCTGGTTTCTCCCTAGAACCCTCAAGAATTTGGGGTCCACATTATCATTCTTATTGGTTCTCTCTGGACCCCAAACTCAATACAATGTGGCGGTGCAATGGAACAGTTTTGGAGTCAGACCTGGCTGAATGAGCCCCAGGCCTGTGACTTAAGTGGGGTCAAGGCACTTCACCTCTCTGAGCCTTGTCTCCACAATGGGATTTGTAATATCATCAAAGGACATAATGCATAAATACTTTCTAAACTTTAAGGAGAAATTCTCATGTGCTCCTGCTACAACTGAGGACTAAGGCACTTTATAGGAGCCGGGGCCAGACACACGCCTCACGTTTGCTTCACCTGGGCTTGCAAGGCTGGCATTAACAGGCAGACAATGGCGGTGCAGCCCATCACCTCCTGCCCTGACACTTGAAGGACCAAGCAGTGCAGTTGCTTAGAAAGGAAGGCATAGCTGACACATGAGGACCTGTTGTTTTTGGTAAATTTCAGCTGTCCAAAGGAACTTATTCCCCATCTCCTCAAGAGGAAACTTGTTTCAGGAGCAAGAGTAGCAGAGTGTACAAGACCGGACCTCCCAGCTTTGGGCTAGACCCAGCACCTATGAGCAGGCTGGGCCCGGGCAATTAGAAATAAGGCCCTTGAACGTTCCCACCATATGATCTGGTGGGAAGCTGTCCTTGCAGATAAGGCCTGGGCTAATGACCACTTGACTCATAGCAAACTTGAAGAAAACCCTGTCCTATCCCCACCTTTTATCCTTTCTGGGTCAGGCAGAAAACCTCTGCCTTGCCAAGGCCCAGGGGCAGGCTACGGTTTGGGAACTGTAGTGGGCTATTAAGGTAGCTGCATAAATATTAGGATTTGAAGGGACCTCTGGAGGTCATCCGGTCCAACACTTTGCCCCCCCCCACGTGACTAGATGAATATTTGTGTTGCTTGAATCTTAAATGGAAGAGTCTCTGTGCCCAGGTAATGGAAAGAGTGTGGCAGACTCACATAAGCACAGGTCCCAGGTCAGGCACCTGTCTCAGACAGAGGTAGGCTCTGTGGAGAAAGAAGACAGGACGTCTAGTCAGGCTGGGAAGGGGGGCAATCGGGAGGGGACCCGGGGAGTTTTCTGAGCCTGAAGCACGGCTGTAAACAAAGTGAAACACATGCGCCCCGAAGTCTGGCTCCAGGCTCTCGTGCAGGCAGGTTTGTCCCCGAAGCCTGGCAAGCTGCTGCGACATAGCTCTCGGCCTGACTGGGAAGAGCTCTCTGACCCTCTGGCTGGCTGCAGCACAGAGCTGGCGAGGACGCCCACTTGGCAGGTTTCTCCCTTGGTCTCTGCCACAGGCACCAGCCTTTCCCCTCCCTGCCCCTCTCTTTAGGCTGCAACACTTCCTTCTCACCCCACCCCTGCCCCCACCCCCACCCAAGAGAGGAGCAGCAGCCCCCTTGGGGTCGGACGTTTCCCCCACAGTCTGGAGCACACCTCTGCTTTCTCTTGCCTGTTGCCCTGGACCCTCACTGTAGTGCAACAAACGGTAACTCTGACAACAGGGACCTCGAGCTTGAAGAGTCAACACGGAGCCAAGGAAGAAGGTTCTGCGTGACGTCATCCCTGGGGCTCCATCTACTGTCCTGTTAACTCAAGGTCATTCTGGAAAGGCAAGCAAGCCTTATCATCTCGGAGTCACTGGGGAATAAATAGCAGTGGGGTATTTCTCTCTGTGGCTGTGACACCCATATACCTCACTCCACAGCAGCACTTAGAGGTTCTGGGGCTCCTGGCTCCCAAACCTGGGGCAGGGGCATGGGCGGGGCCAATCTGGGGGAGTCTAGGATGCAGGGGCCTCGCCCAGCCTGATGGCCCCAAAGAAGGTGGTGTGCTTGCTCATATTGATGGAGATGTCAGCGTGCACCATCTTCACAGCGATCTTCTGTCGGGCTTTGAGAAGGCAGACGCCCGCCGTGTAACACGTGTTGTAGTTGGTCTTGCCTGTCTCAATGCTGCGGGTACACTGCAGGAAGGGCTTCTCATCCACCACCACCTCATAGCTGGCAAAGTCCGTGAAGTTGATGTAGTACACCTGGGTGAGAGGTAACAAGAAGGGATTGGGGGAGAGAGGAAAATGGTGGGGCCCTCCCCTGTGACCAACGGATGGGACCTTCTCTGATAAGCTGCTGGCACACCCTGGGAAGGTGTGCTAGTTAGCCGACAGGAAAGGTGGGATGGCGGGCTTAGTCACTGTCCTTCCCCCACTCCACGGGGCTCAGGTGGCTGAGCAAACCTTTCTTCCAACAGTGCACCAGCTGTGAAGTCTGTGAGGGCAAGGACCATGCCTCATTGGCCTCTTTACCTCCCCTTGATCCCCCTCCCCCACGCTGGCATGAAGCACAGTGCCCTGCACACATCAGGTGCTTGGTAGGCGCTACAGACACAGATGGATGCAAACTAACTGCCAGTTTCAAGTCTCAAGGACTATTTGCTGATAAACTTAGAAGTCACTGATTTCCTACAGAGGGAACAGTGACAACTTGCCATTTCCTCAGCTCTTTAATGGCGGCTGCTCGCTCAGCTTGCAATGCCCCCACCCTGCTCTGTGGCTGAATTTCTTTCACTTCTTCTCAGTGTCCCTTGGCCCTCTCATCTGATGAGTGAGGAAACAGATCCAGAGACATGGAGAGCTATCCACCACAAATGAGACATAGAATTTGGAAGAGTAAAACTTCCAGCCAGAAGGAAGTCCTAACCTATGTGCAAAGGCCTGGTGTGAAGGGGATCTTCCCAGTTTGCACAGAGTTGCCGGAGGCAACTCCCAAGTCTCTCCTAGACCCAGAAAATTACATTTTTTATGCTTCGCTACCCTTATCCATCACACCCCACCCCAAGCTTTGATCCCCTTCTGCCTCCAAATGGAGTTTAGGACAAATGGCCCATCGGGCACTGGGATTACATCCATGTGCCACTTGGGGTTTGGGGCCCTCATCTGTTACCCTAAATCACTTTCTTAGGGCTGCTCCCTCCACAGGCTATTGCGGAGGGAGTATTCAGATGCCATGCAATTTCTTGGATCAGCTCCCAATCTGTGCCAGGGTGCTTGGTGGGTCTAGCAAATGCCCGTTAACCCACCTTCTCTGGCCACTGTCCTGTGAGGCCCTTGTGCTGGCTCCACAGTCCTCCTGTTCATCTGCCTGCCTGATGCCCACCCCACAGAAATCCCACCCTCAATGCTCAGCTACCTGTAGGTCTGAGGAGCCACTCAGTGGCAGCAACCAACAGGGGTGAAAGTTGATGGGCACTGGCAGACCTGGGGAGTGGGCCCCGGGCAGGACAAGGACAGAAACAGAATGAGTAAAGGGCTGGGAGAATGACAGCAGGAAGGAGGCAAGAATAACAGAGAAACAGAAAGGTAGAGAAACAAATGGGAGAGAGAGGAAGGAAAGAGAGTCAGAAATCTTTTTGAGGTGGAGAGAAAGTCCACAGGAGCACTATTCATTCTAAAGCTAGCGAAGTGTGTGTGGGGTTCTCAGCAACCCTGGAACCGACTTTCAGAGAATGTACTGAGACAGAGCTCAAGTTTGGCAGTAGAACCAAACAGCTTAGCAGGGGAAACAGGGGCCTGGGGCCCTGCAGGAGGGGATCAGATGGCAGGGTGTGGCAGGGGCCTCTTTTCAGCTTTTCAATGATATTTGGCGAGGAAAGACCCCCAAACAGCCCCCTCTCTCTTTCCTCCTTTCCAACCCCTCCCAGTGCGGTGCCCCCCAGCCCCCTCACCCGCCAAAGCAGGAAGTTAGCCATTGGCTGGTCTTGGCTGGCTCCACAGTGCCCCTATGTGGCGTGCACCAGATCTGCATTCTGGATATAAGAAGAGTTAGGCCTAAGACCGTACTCACTTCTACCTGACTATAGATGAAGTAGGTGCCGTCCACCAGTACCTCCAGCTCCCCGCTGCGGGGATGTAGCTTAAACACCTTGGGGTTCATAGTGATGCGAGACCAGTCATTGAGCACTCCACCTGAAAGATCTCAGTATGAGAGAAGGGCAGTCACTCAGTACATGTCAGAATAATCTGGGCAACAGAAACAAAAAGTAGCAAGCAGTACACACCCTCACCCCCCTCCCAAAGCAACCTGGAGAGCCCAGGCGGCCAAGCTTTAAGCACAGCATGTGGAGGCAGAGAGAGTGTTCTGTTCAGAAAGCGGCTGCCAGGCTGGCCTCGGGCCCCTGGGGTCTGCCAGTCTGTCTTCCTCTCCCCTTTTCTGACCCCTCCATCTGGAAGGGTCTTGAACCAACACCTTCTAGCTGGAATGCCGGGTGGGGAGTAAGAAGAGAGTGGGCACGCTGATCTATTTCCTTTGTTGTTCTGAGGCCTGCACAGGCAAAATTCCGACACTGAGTGGCAGGCTAGGTCTTATTATTCCATTTTATTTCACCAGCCGCAACTCCTGAATCCCTCTCCTGTCTTATAGGTTCATGGATTTTCTCCTCCTCCCTGAGAGATTCCTGCACTCCCACTCCTTTCTGCAAAGTCTCCCTGGGCGCCCAGGAAACCGCTTAGCCCAAGGAATTGTCTACCTGGAGAACCTTAGGGATCAGGGGTGAGTCAGACTTCATGGCAGCCAGAGCGCGTGACCGCCAGTAATAAGGCCCCATTGGGGAGCAGGGTATTTATGAGAGGGAGGGATAGACTGCCAAGCAGCATTAGAACCAGCCAAGGGGGGTGGCGAGGGTGTCTGGGAACCGAAGCAGCCCTGGCAAAGCATCTGTCGGGGTGGAGGGGCAGTCCTACTACCTTGGCTAGACACTGGGAGTGAGCATGTGAGGGTGGAGGAAAAAAGCTTTCCTTTCCATCCTGTGGAAACGGGGTGGTGCCTTCCCACCACAAGGGCAGGGAGTACAAGCCCATCGGGTCTTTCCCCTTCGAAACCATCCATTCTTCACCCAAGAAATGACATTTTCAACATTCATCCTTGGCAAGTCTCAGGAGGCCTCTCTCTCTGAGGCGTGAGGAAACTGGCCTTCTGGAAAAGGCGGCCATCTTCCCTTGAGGTGATGAGTAGATGGGTTGGGAGTTAGGAGGAGCCCTGGCTCAGCCCCCTCAAAACCGCTCTGCATGACGTCCTCCCACCCCTGACCCCTCACTTCTGCTCCCGGGAACTTGTGATGTGGTAATGGGAGAATAAACCCGAGGCCACCCACCCAGACACCCAAACAAATCTATTTCCTGCCTGTCTCACGCCTTCCCGGACAGGTGGTGACCACGGCCCAGCCAGGGCCCTGGGGCCCAAGGCACCTGGCCCCAGCAGGACCATTTGCGTGTTGCTGCCATTCTGGTCCTCCTTATCTTTCTGAGGCTATTCAGCCAGGCATACAGGTGGCAGTCCAGGATGCAGCCAAGGCTGATCATTAAGGAGGCTTGGCCCAGCCGGTTCAGCACTGACTGGGCTCTTCAAAGTTGTCCCCATGCAGCAGGTTTCTTAACCCTCAATTACTCTATCTGCCCTCAAAGCCCCCCTGCCCCTCCGAGCTTTGTAAACATCTGGCATCCTGGCTGGCTTGCTGCTACCCAAGGTTCCTGGGGGTTCACGAATTTTAGGCTGTGTGCACCCTGGGGACTGGACATTATTCCAAAGCACTGTTCTTTAACGAATGCTCATGTCTGTTTGAGGAAGAGAATAAAGGTAATCATTCAGTGGAGTGTACCCACACATCACCGCAGTAGCCCAGTGCGGTGGAAAGAGTCAGACACATATGGTTTTGAATCCCAGCTCCCACATTTAGCTGAAACCTTGGGCCAGTTTATTAACCTCTCTGAGCTTCAGTTTCTAGCTCTGTAAGAAGGAGCTAATGCCTACCTTACAGGGTTGTCATGAGGATCAAATAAAATAAAAGACAGCTACCAAAATGGTCACGGGGATGTAAAGTACAGCATAGGGAATATAGTCAATGATATGGTAATAACTACATACAGTGCCAGGTGGGTACTAGACTAGTCAGGGGGATCACTTCTTAAATTATATAAGTGTCTAGCTACTACACTGTACCCCTGACACTGTATTATTTCATTATTATATGAAATAATAGTGAACGGCAACTGTAACTGAAAAACTAAAGAATTAAAAAAGAAGAGACATCACTGCAAGTCTTTTATATAATAACTTGATAAACTAAAAACTACTTCTCCCCCAAAATGAAAATAAAATAAAAGATAAAGAAAGCATGTTGAAAACCAAGAACCACACAAATATAAGGCCATATGATTTATTACGGTATTACTCAATCTCTCTGGGACCCTGGTTACCCATCTTTTAAATGCAGGGATTACATGAAGTCAATGTTTCTTAACCTCTTTAAACCCGTTCTCCCTTTTTGTAGACGCTAGCATCACATACTCCCCAAAACACACCCTCCACCCATTTTCTGTGCAGACCCATCAGACAAGAAGATTTGACATATGTGTCGTTTTACCTTCTCTAATGTATACTGTGAACATGTTGACCAAACTACACATATTCTCATGGTGACGCAGACACGACCTTTATCTGCCAAGAACTCCTGGTCTAGATGACATCTCAAGCCCCTTTCAGCTCCTCATCAATGTTTCTAATTGCAATTTAGGTGTAGCAACCGGCCTTGGTGCAAGCAATTACCCAGGGCAGACAGCAGAGGGCAGAATGGAGCAGAGACTCGCCCCCTAGTGCCACCAGTACCTCGGGGGCTGGCAGGACCTAGGCCAGGTGACTATGTGGACGCTCCCCTTAGAGACAGGCTGCTTGGACTCTTACCATTCTTGACTTGAATTGCTGACCCTTGGCCCTGCAGGTGCACCACAGCGGGCTGGGAGGAGGAAAAGGACAGAGAGAGGCATCACCATGAGAAACAACTGCTTGCTCAACCCCAGTTTCTATGTCTCCACCTCTGACTTCTCGTCTCCTTCCGTCTCCCAGTTCTGGTCCCTCTCCCCTGTCTTTGGGATGCTAGTGACCACACTGCTACTACACGGTAATATGATTTTGTGGCTTGTCGCTTCCTAACTATGTGACCTCAGCCAAATGGAATGCCTCTGAGTCTCATTTCCCTAACTGTAAAATGGGGATTATAAGACTCTGTCTGGCCTCTTTCACAGGGATGTTTGAAGAGCAAATGAGGTGATGGATACAAAATTGCTCTGCAAGCCACCAAGCGCTGTGCAGCTGTGGAGATGTCACTGTGGCCACACAGCTGTAGTGAGGGAGGCTGAGATGAGACAAGGGAAGGCAGCAGAACCTGCCAATACAGGCAGATTAGGAAGCTCAAAGACTACGGAGGAGCCCTTCAGGCCATTAAGGCAGAAGCCCAGGCTGGGCTTGGCCTGGAGCTGCTTGGCTGATTTTCAAGGACATACTCTTAAACTCCTAAGCTCCTGATCCGGGAGGTCTGAATGTCTACAAGGTGTCTGGGTGGCTGGGGACTCAGAGGCCCAGGTGAACAGGCCTGTCTGGCAGCTCATTTCAACTGACTACTGAGCCTGGATATGGTGACTGTGTCTCCTGTGGAATGGAGAAAATGGCCAAGGCGAGATTCAGCTCCCTTAGCTCAAGGCAGGCCCTGGGGCAAAGCTTTTCTGTCTCAGAACCTGAAGGGTATCCTCCCAAAACAAAGCCTCAGCAAATTTAATAGGGAGCCAACTCAAAGGTGGCTCTGCCTGTGGCCCTGCCTCTTCCCCAGGAAAAGAGCATTTTCCAGCTAACCTGGTTTTCTCGACTTCCAGCTTTATCAGCAGCACCTGCAAAACAGGACGGGTCAATCAGAGGCCATGCTTTTTGTACTTCAGTTTCTCCTCACCTAGGCCGCCAGTGACAGGAAGCCCCGGGATGGGAGAGGACACCCCTTCCTTCTCTTTGTTGTCCCTGCCTGGCATCTTCAGTGGGCCGGGCACCCAGCAGTGGCCTCTTGCCAATGTTGGCCCCAGGCAAGTCCCACCAAGCACCAATAGAGCCAGACAAGAGGGCATTGCTGTCACTCTGTGACCCTGAGACGATGTTGTTGGCTTCTTTAGCCTTTTTCCCCCTTCCTATTCATTTTCTTCATAGAGTTCATTGTCATTTGTAAGTATCTTGCCTCTTTAATCATCTCTCTCCTCCTCTAGGAAATAAAATTCATGAGAACAAGGACCACTTACATCTCTTACACATAGAAAGTGCTCAATTAATATTTGTGGAAAGGGGGGGTGACTGGTTAGCTCAGTTGGTTAGAGCATGGTGCTGATAACACCAAGGTTGCCGGTTCGATCCCCACATGGGCCACTGTGAGCTGTGCCCTCCCTAAACGACTCAACTATGCCATTGTAGCATGAAAGCAATGTGTAACCAATGACCATGGCTGTTCCCCAATAAAACTTGAAAAAAAATTTGTGGAAACATTGAGTGAAAAAACTCTCCAACTGCATGCCTTGTGGGCACAGTAACACTGATTAGCCATGTGTTAACTGCTACAGAATTCTTGGACCCAGAGAAAGCAGCTGTAAGGAGTCCATTTTTTGAAAGCCCCAAGCTACAAGAGGGGAGCAGGAGAGGAGTATAACAACCGACGTAAGCCCAGGCAGTCTGACTCCTGTGAGATCCAGTTAGTCAGCTTTGGATCTTCATCTCTACCTGTTGGATGCCCTTCTGGGCCCCAAAGGAAAGATGCAAAGACATTAAATGCCATTCAAATGGGCAATGTGGTGGGGCAAGGAGCCCTTGGTTCCTCGACAGGATGGTCTTGGTGCCCGGGTTGCTTCTTCCGTAGCCTGAGTGCCTCGGAAGTCTTTAACTCCCTGGCCATCAGCGACTACTGGCCTACCTCTATGAGAAGGGTGCTTTAGAGTTCATGGGACGAGACTGTTGTAGGGCTGGTCATTTTGTCCAGTCCCCAATATTCTTCCCCATGGCCTGTTTCCAAGCAAATAACAGCTTGTGGGGCAGAGCCAATCCATCTTCTACCAGAAGTCCAGCAAACCCTCAGGGCCTCCGTCTCAGGCTCATATGAAATTACTGGCCCACTCCAGGGAGGCCTAGAGTAAGGGAGGGCTTGTGATGGAAGGGTTGAGCAGGTCAGGCCCTACTGGCTTGTTTAATCCCTAGCTCTCCACTGAGCCAGGAGATGTGCACTTCCTACTGCACACCAATGCCAGAAGCACCACCTGAAACTGCTCCCAGGATCACCCAGCCCTGCTCTCTGAAAGTCCTGGGAAGGAGCCTGGGGGATGGAGAAGCAGGAGCTCACCAGAAGGTCCCTGGATGCCAGGGGGTCCTTGAGGACCAGGAGGACCTGGAGGGCCAGGTGGTCCCATAACAGTTGTTCCTGGAATTCCAGGAATCCCTGGAATCCCTGGGGGTCCCTGGGGTCCTGGAGGTCCTGGAGGTCCTGGGGGACCATTGGGCCCAGGAGGTCCTGCCTTCTTTCCTGGAAGACAAGATTCAGTGTTACATTTGTAGTTACTGACTCACAATGTACTGTCAGGAGTTCTTACAGACGTCCAATGACAAAGTCAGCCCTCTGGGAGTTCCTGCTGTTAAAGGGGTGAACACCATTATTCATTCTCATAGTCTCTCCCTCTCCCTCTCTCCCTCCCTCCCTCTCTCTCTCTCTCTCCACACTCCCCAAGCCCTTTCATGAATCATTTACAGAGCTGAGTTTGAATATATAGAAATAAATGGCCATCAAGTTG